AAAAGAAGAAATAATTGGAGATTCTTGAGAGGCTATATACAAAAACAGAGTTAACTGTATTAGAGGAATCTTCTGGGAGCTTAGAAATGAGAACAGACTACTAAGGAGCTCCGAAAGATCTATAGCCACAAGCTACGAAAACATTTTCAAGAGGTGATCTGGCAACTGAGATGTGAAGCTATAAATGAGTTTAAGCAGGGCAAAAGTATTACAAATTCCCAAAAAAGAAAGAGAAGTTATCCAACATATAAGAAAATCAAGAAAAAGAAAACCCAAGAGACAAGAGGTGAGAGAAGTATAGCAGAAGAAACAGATCGAAAGTTGTAGAAGGAGACAAAGAAAGAAGTTAAGAAGGTAATTACAACTAATATCAAACCGAAGTAGTCAGGGCTCTATTGACCACACTGTTCTAAAACGTAAACACAGTCCTGACAAGGCTAGCAACTACCGTTCAAGGATCTAATAGATAATCTTTTAGCAAGTTGAAAGCCAGAAGGGAGAAAAAGAGTTGCTGTGGCAGATTGCATCTGGGCATCTCTGAGCAGCCGGGTGAGCTTTTATTGAAGAGAAGGAAAAATTGTTGGCATTAGCTAGGAACTTATATATTTAGATTACACATTCCTTATATAATAAAGGCAGAATTGCCAAAAAAAAAAAAATAAATAAATAAATAAAAATATTTTATTTTATTAAACGAATCTTGGGTATTTCTATTTTATTTTCTTGCTTGATATTTGTAACTACTAAGTTTTATTTTTGATTTTTCTAGTTCTATGTTTTTTTTTGTTTTTATATTTTTATATAAGAATATATTTTACTTGCAATTAGCAGTTTGAAATTAATTGATTTGTTGGCAAATTTTTTCTAAAAAAGTTTACAATCTTTTTGGGATAATCAGTCACCTAATTGGAGTTTAATAACATGATTATTTGTTTATAGCAGTTTGGTGACTCTAATTTTCACAATAAAATGATAGCAAGAAATCTAAATAATATATATTTATAAAATTAAAATCACATAAATTTAATTTTTATATAGCAAAGTGTATTAATAACTGAACTATTTGTTTTAATCAGGTGATTTGATTAGATCTTAATAACCAAATTATTTATTTTAATCAGGTGATTCGATTGGATCTTAATAACCAAATTATTTGTTTTAATCAGATAACCTGGTTTAATTCGGATATTCAGTTTAATTCAGATATCTGGTTATCAATTCAGATATCCAGTTATTAAAAGTGCTTAATCTAATGGGTCATAGATAAAGATTTTTAAACTAAATTGGATCTCTATCTATGATTCAATAAATTTATAAAGTTTGCTAACTATAACTTTACTAGAATATGGTGAAAAAACGTAATGATTTTCTAACATTACATTTTTTATTTTAAAATTTGATATGATCCAGGTTGTAGTAATTCCCAAGTATTTATATTTTAATTTACTGGACCAAAAATTCATCATAAAAGAAATGTTTTCTACAATTTCAATAAGATTTTGCAAATTTTCACAATTATATTTATAACTTTTACTGATTATTGGTTTAATTTTTTTTATCTAGAATAACAAAAGAGAAATTAAATTCGGCTATTTTTTCTTTATTAACATTATTAGTAATAGTAGAAAGAAGCTAATTTGTATGCATTATCCATTTAAGAAGGGTTTTCTCTCATCTTTTTTGAATATATGCAGGATGAGGATGAACTTTTCATATGAATTCAGTAATTTTAGAATTTTGCAACTAAAAATTAAAATATTAATAAAAACTTATCATATACAAATATTTAATTTCTATATTATATATACTACCTTTTTTGAATTAACTATATCATTTTCTGAAACAATTGCATTAATATCTCTAAGATGTATAATTAAATTTTCCATTAAGCTTCCTACATTTTTATATTCTGTAGCATATCGTTTTTTATCTTTATCTAAGATTTTACAAGTTCACACCTTTTTACTTATATTATTTACTATTTTTTCAAAGTATTCTCAAGTAAATAATAGTAGCCTACATTTGTATGATCTTTTATTTTTAGAAATAGTAGCCACTTTGTCTATAAAAAAAAACAACTTAAAATCTGTAATACTTTTAAACCTTTAGTATATTATTAAATTTTAATACTCTTTTTTGTACTTTCAAGAGTTGTTTGGTTTTCAGGTACCGTATGTTATCAAATAGAAGCTACCCCCAAATAAAAGCTACCCCTTGATTTTGGATCCAAAAATCTAAAGAAGGTTATTATGTTTTAATAGTAAAATTAGACCCAAATAGAAGCTATCCCCACGATTTAGCCTGAGAAAATTAAAAATTTTTTGGTAGCTTCTATTCAGTAATATATGGTAATACTTTAACTAACAAATAAGATAAAATTCTTGAACTTTCAAACTGACCATATTGTTCCCAATCTATGTATATTGTATTAAAATCAAAGTCACTATTATTATTATAGTAATATTCAAAATTATTGTTAGCTATTGTTTTAAAATTTCTTTATAATTTGACTAATTCTTAAAATAAAAATTAGCATATCACTTATAAATCATTAACCTCTTAATTATATACTTTTTTTTTTTTTATAAATTAATTCATTTATGAACTTCTAATTTAGTTGATCTAGAATATGATGCCTACTTAGTTTTTTATATATTAGATATTTTTAATTACTCTTCCTATTTATTTTTTTTATAGTAATTTTATATAATCTACTTCAATTCTAAAGCTTTATATTAAGTATATACAGTATATTTATATATATGTGCATGAGTTAACAATTATGTTTATACTTGAAGTATAAAACTATATAGATTATTAAAAAAGTAACCTTATTTTTTTATAGTTTTATTAATAACACCTAATCACCAATACTCTACTTGACCCATATTAGCTATTTGGCAAACAACTAGATAGCTAGTTTAAGTTTATTTATGTTTCTTTCACAATAATGAGTTTAAACAACTATTGAATAACTTTATCCCAAATCTCTAATTTCTCTATTTATAAATCATCTCGCTTTAAAAGAGTGATCAATACATTCTCTTGAAGTGTATCAAAATCATCATATTAAAATGTGTATTATTTTATTATTTCATTTTTTTTTCTTTTATATATATATATATATATATATATATATTTTTGGAGCTTTGACAGTCTTGTCGAAGCTCGAATACAATACTTTATTAATGTAATAAACTTGGACAGAAAATTACTAAAGTTGAAATTGCAAGCCCAACATC